CTTGTTGTTGCTTGGGTAAACACATTGTCGAATGCCCTTGTTGTTGCTTGGGTACACACATTGTCGAATGCCCTTGTTGTTGGTTGGGGACACACATTGTCGAATGCCCTTGTTGTTGCTTGGGTAAACACATTGTGGAATGCCCTTATTTTTAAAAAAATTACATAGATGAAAAATCTTTTTTCTTAAATTAAAAAAAAAAAATTACATCATTAAAAAAAAAGGCCACACTTTTGGAAACGGTGGTATCAGGGGGGGGGGCGGTCGCTTCCTCCTCTGCTCTCCCACTGGCTACAATGCAGGGCAAACCCTGTGTTTGGCTTAATTTGGCGCCATCGCAGCTTGTCATGTGCTACTGGCAGGTAAAAGAAGACAGCAGAAGAAATGGCCGATAAAAAAACAAGACCCTTGTCTTTTGGAAGCTCACGACAAATTAATTAATACCAAACGGAGATTGAAACGGAGATAAATATTCAAACCAGCCAGGACCGCAGGACAGGGTCATCTATCACGCCCCCCCTCCCCCACAAGTTAATACCCCTGCCTATGGACTCAGCTGAAAAAAACGGGATGGCTGTCATCATTTCATTAAAGACAGGTATTGAGTACAATAAAGTATGGCCAAACCTGAAAAAAAGGAACACAAAAAAACAACGAACGTGTCGACAGCTATTTTTTAATCTTGTGTCCTGTTTTAATCTTGTGTCATGTTTTAATCTTGTGTCCTGTTTTAATCTTGTGTCATGTTTTAATCTTGTGTCATGTTTTAATCTTGTGTCCTGTTTTAATCTCGTGTCCTGTTTTAATCTTGTGTCCTGTTTTAATCTTGTGTAATGATTTAATCTTGTGTAATGTTTTAATCTTGTGTCCTGTTTTAATCTTATGTCCTGTTTTAATCTTGTGCAATGTTTTAATCTTGTGTCCTGTTTTAATCTTATGTCCTGTTTTAATCTGATGTCCTGTTTTAATCTTGTGTAATGTTTTAATTTTGTGTCCTGTTTTAATCTTGTGTCATGTTTTAATCTTGTGTCATGTTTTAATCTTGTGTAATGTTTTAATCTTGTGTAATGTTTTAATTTTGTGTCCTGTTTTATTCTTGTGTCCTGTTTTAATCTTGTGTCCTGTTTTAATCTTGTGTCCTGTTTTAATCTTGTGTCCAGTTTTAATCTTGTGTCATGTTTTAATCTTGTGTCCTGTTTTAATCTTGTGTCATGTTTTAATCTTGTGTCATGTTTTAATCTTGTGTCATGTTTTAATCTTGTGTCATGTTTTAATCTTGTGTCCTGTTTTAATCTTGTGTCCTGTTTTAATCTTGTGTCCTGTTTTAATCTTGTGTCCTGTTTTAATCTTGTGTCATGTTTTAATCTTGTGTAATGTTTTAATCTTGTGTAATGTTTTAATCTTGTGTCATGTTTTAATCTTGTGTCAAGTTTTAATCTTGTGTCCTGTTTTAATCTTGTGTCATGTTTTAATCTTGTGTAATGTTTTAATCTTGTGTAATGTTTTAATTTTGTGTCCTGTTTTATTCTTGTGTCCTGTTTTAATCTTGTGTCCTGTTTTAATCTTGTGTCCTGTTTTAATCTTGTGTCATGTTTTAATCTTGTGTCATGTTTTAATCTTGTGTCATGTTTTAATCTTGTGTCATGTTTTAATCTTGTGTCATGTTTTAATCTTGTGTCATGTTTTAATCTTGTGTCATGTTTTAATCTTGTGTCATGTTTTAATCTTGTGTCATGTTTTAATCTTGTGTCATGTTTTAATCTTGTGTCATGTTTTAATCTTGTGTCATGTTTTAATCTTGTGTCATGTTTTAATCTTGTGTCATGTTTTAATCTTGTGTCATGTTTTAATCTTGTGTCATGTTTTAATCTTGTGTCATGTTTTAATCTTGTGTCATGTTTTAATCTTGTGTCATGTTTTAATCTTGTGTCATGTTTTAATCTTGTGTCATGTTTTAATCTTGTGTCATGTTTTAATCTTGTGTCATGTTTTAATCTTGTGTCATGTTTTAATCTTGTGTCATGTTTTAATCTTGTGTCATGTTTTAATCTTGTGTCATGTTTTAATCTTGTGTCATGTTTTAATCTTGTGTCATGTTTTAATCTTGTGTCATGTTTTAATCTTGTGTCATGTTTTAATCTTGTGTCATGTTTTAATCTTGTGTCATTTTTTAATCTTGTGTCATGTTTTAATCTTGTGTCATGTTTTAATCTTGTGTCATGTTTTAATCTTGTGTCATTTTTTAATCTTGTGTCATGTTTTAATCTTGTGTAATGTTTTAATCTTGTGTCCTGTTTTAATCTTATGTCCTGTTTTAATCTTGTGTCCTGTTTTAATCTTGTGTAATGTTTTAATCCTGTGTCCTGTTTTAATCTTGTGTAATATTTTAATCTTGTGTAATGTTTTAATCTTGTGTCCTGTTTTAATCTTATGTCCTGTTTTAATCTTGTGTCCTGTTTTAATCTTGTGTAATGTTTTAATCTTGTGTAATGTTTTAATCTTGTGTAATGTTGTAATCTTGTGTCATGTTTTAAGCTTGTGTCATGTTATAATCTTGTGTCATGTTTTAAGCTTGTTTCCTGTTTTAATCTTATGTCCTGTTTTAATCTTGTGTCATGTTTTAATCTTGTGTAATGTTTTAATCTTGTGTCCTGTTTTAATCTTGTGTCCTGTTTTAATCTTGTGTCCTGTTTTAATCTTGTGTAATGTTTTAATCTTGTGTAATGTTTTAATCTTGTGTAATGTTGTAATCTTGTGTCATGTTTTAAGCTTGTGTCATGTTATAATCTTGTGTCATGTTTTAAGCTTGTTTCCTGTTTTAATCTTATGTCCTGTTTTAATCTTGTGTCATGTTTTAATCTTGTGTCCTGTTTTAATCTTATGTCCTGTTTTAATCTTGTGTAATGTTTTAATCTTGTGTCCTGTTTTAATCTTGTGTAATGTTGTAATCTTGTGTCATGTTTTAATCTTGTGTAATGTTTTAATCTTGTGTAATGTTTTAATCTTGTGTCCTGTTTTAATCTTGTGTCCTGTTTTAATCTTGTGTCCTGTTTTAATCTTGTGTCCTGTTTTAATCTTGTGTCCTGTTTTAATATTGTGTCATGTTTTAATCTTGTGTCATGTTTTAATCTTGTGTCATGTTTTAATCTTTCATGCTTTAATCTTGTGTCCTGTTTTAATCTTGTTTCATGTTTTAATATTGTGTCATGTTTTAATCTTGTGTCCTTTTTTAATCTTGTATCCTGTTTTAATCTTGTGTCATGTTATAATCTTGTGTCATGTTTTCAGCTTGTGTCATGTTATAATCTTGTGTCATGTTTTAAGCTTGTGTTATCTTTTAATGTTGTTAACCGCCTGCCACCCCCCCCCACTCTTTTTTTTTTGGGCCATTTTGAAATTCAAATACATTTAAATTTCCAAAAGATTAATAACTGTCCCCCATAGCCATTATGTTCATGTTCTCCCTGTGGGGCGTGCATCTCACGTTATTATGTTCAAGTTCTCCCTGTGTGGCGTACATCTCACGTTATTATGTTCAAGTTCTCCCTGTTCGGCGTACATCTCACTTATTATGTTCAAGTTCTCCCTGTGGTGCGTACATCTCACTTATTATGTTCAACTTCTCCCTGTGGGGCGTACATCTCACGTTGTTATGTTCAAGTTCTCCCTGTGGGGCGCACATCTTTTGTTATTATGTTCAAGTTCTCCCTGTGGGGCGCACATCTCACGTTATTATGTTCAAGTTCTCCCTGTGGGGCGTACATCTCATGTAGTTATGTTCAAGTTTTCCCCGTGGCGCGCACATCTCGGGTTGAGGACCAAGGTATAACGGTGATTTCGTTTACGTCTCAAAATGGTATATTTAAAAATTAAATTATTTTATTAATAGAAAACTTTAAAATTTAATTTTTGTTTTTTTTTTGCGTAGAGGGGGGGGGGGGGTGATGCTTACTTTAACGTACGCAAAAATGAAGAGGTAACAAAAAATGTTCATGTAAGGGCACGGGCGCCCGCAGGTAGGTGCAAGGAGGGCACTTGCCCCCCCCCACCCCCTGGATTGATTGGATAAAAAATGCTTAGACAAAAACAGACAAAAAATGTATTAAAGTAAAGAGAAAATAAAGAGATAGTAACTAAGCTGATGTCCTGTCCGTTCGTTCACCATACAACTACGCATTAAAACTACATTAAAACATTACTAAAAAATTGTTGCCCCCCCCCCCAGGAAAGTTAATCGATTTTTTGCCCCCCCCCCTCCTTAGAAAGTTTTCTGCGGGCGCCCATGTGTAAGGGGGTAACAAGGAAGTGGTGAAATTAATTTTGACACTTTTTTGCGTACGAAATATATGGATGTTGTGTCGTAGGAAGGGGACGGAGCGGACTCAGCCCAGGGTGCCGCTGTTATCTCTTTATTGGGGGGAAGCATTTTCGACCAACAGCAGGAATTTTTTCGTGGAGGAGGGTGACAAAATAACCATGACTAGCCCCGGGCAGAGCTAATCCTAGCTACGACACTGTATTGATAGCCCCTAAGTTTCGATGCAGTTTTGTTTGCATCCGTTGGCCTGTTCTGTGTTTATTCTGTGAAAACTACTCCTGTTTTGATATCAATATTATAGTGACTGTTGGATGAAGAATTAAATCAATTCTTTTTTTAATAATTCAAATGAACTGAATAATTCATTCTGACCATCTGTAAATTTATGGTAATTATTATGTGCTCACGTCAGCGGTAAGTTCATTCACCCATCGAAGCCGAAATATTTTAATTCGCTTGTGTAAAGTAAGAACACAAATTTCATGGCGGTGCAACAGAAACGCCACACCTCTCAGATTGAACTTGTGCTGACAAGCCAGATGGGCTGGGCATGTGGCAAGAATGCCAGACAGCAGACTTCCCAAACGACTAATGTTCGGTGAACACGATGTCTGTTTGGATCTATAATCTATGGAAATCTGGGGAAACTTATTCTAAACCTGGGGATTTGTACACGGCAGAGTGGCAGAAGTGCGCTAAGTAAGATTCACTTCCGGGTTACATTATTAGTTTTTGCAGACAACAATGGGAAAAATTGAATGAACGAATTCTACGTTAAAAGGGCTGCAATAAATATGTCTCGCACATGCTATTTAGGCCTGTTATTGTTAATTTGTAATAAAATAACGGAAGCAAATGTACGGTTCGTTTGCCCGAGACCGATAAGCCCACGATCTGACGAAGAATCTGTAACTTATATGGTTAGTAAAACTTAAACTGACTTAAATTAGAAGTAAAAGTTTAAAAATTAAATGCAAAGCAAAGCACCCAAAGCTTAACCCTCTGGAGCGGAGCCTTTTTGGGGTGTATGTGCCAAAAAGACGGAGCAATTTTTACGAGCTCGAGACTCGCATTGCAAAAAAATTTATAAAAAATAAACTATTCCCTTAATATATGTAAAACTATATATAGGCCCGGTTAAAGTGCAGTTCAGGTGCGTATATTATTTCTTAGCGCATTTCGTATTTTAAAAAAATTTTATCATGTAAACTTACGTGTATTCTTTAATAATTAAATACAGGCAGTTATAGTTAACTAATTCTGGATTATAAATCGCATCTTTTCTTTTTATTTTACTTCTAAAGAGTCTTTAAACATCCCCCAACCAAAGTGTCACAGCCCCCATTTGTTTGTATTTTTCTTTTTACGCTATGCCAGATTTTTAGCCACCTATAAGTTAGTATGCTAAACGAAATTTTCAAACTAAGCATGTTCACAAAAAAGAATGAAATACTAGATTCTTCATTACGCACAAGCGCCCCCCCCCCCCCAACTTTCTTTTTTTCCCCTCTCAGAGAGCTCGGAATATAGGGGTTGTCCTTTGAAGTCGGGTCGGGGAGGGGGGGGGGGATTAGAAGTGGATCACTGACTAAGCAGTGGACACACACGTCATCATTGTCCTGCACCTGGTGTGAAGCTGATCACCCTGAAGGCTGCTAATACGCTGTCCATGATTAGTCAGCTCTAATTTGAGCACCCCCTCCTCTTTTTTCGTATGCAAATGCGCTTATTACTGGTGACTGATTTGCGCTGAGTAAAGTGAGGGCTAGTGATTATTTTTTTTATATTATAAGATGGACTCGTTTTGGCTTTGCGGTATTGCTGGTTGTAGGATCATTTTGTTTAAAATTGCAGGACGACCAAGAAACAATAACTAAAATGCAACAGGCATTTTTAATGGTGCAGCATTTGGTTTAAACGCGCACCTTGTGGGGCAACAAATAACGTTAATACAACTGGAATTTCTCCTAAGGCGCTCGTAACAATTGCAATGTGGCTTGTAAGCTGGGTTCGTATGTCAAGTATGTGAGCTCCCCATAATTACCGGGATCGGAATCTCACCGAAACGGGATCCCGCCGGATAGGGTTCTCATTTAGTTTGGGATACCACCGGAAATGGATCTCACCGGGATCAGTATCTTACCGGGATCGGGATCCCACCATGACCAGGATTCTATCGGAATCCCATCGGGTTCGGGATCCCATCATGATCCTTCCGGGTGCCATCGGAAAACGGGAAAAACGAAAGGTTTACATAAGTTATTTTAATTGTTTTTAAAAGGAGACAAATTAATTATTATTATTTTTACTATAGTCTTGTTGTTTTGTTGTTGACATTTCGTTTAATAGCAATGTTAACTAAAAGGACGGAACAGATGTTTTTGTCTGAATGCAGCCCCAGGCAATTCCGGTTATAGTTGATAGTAAAGTTATAAAATAAATACATCATTTATTTCAACAAGATTCATCCAATTGGGCAACTTTTATAAAGTATATTTAAAGACAGAAGAGTTATCCTTGATTTACCACAATGGCTCCGTAAAACACGAAAGATTCATAAAATGTACTTTTTTTATCTCGTAAAATTTGTTAAATTGTTGTTGTATTCCAATAAAAAGATGGTATATAACTTTTAAAATACTTTTTATAAAGAATTAACATAAGTTTACACGGGAAAATAAGAGATTCAAACAGAAATAATATACGCACCTGAACTGCACTTTTACCTATAGGCCCTATTCTTGTAGGAAATTGAATGAACTAATACAATCTTTATGAATCAAACTGACATATCAAAATTTATGCAAATGAGGTACCCTTATTTGCATAATTTATGCGTGTAATTTTTTGTTACACCTAGAACAAACATGACTTACTTGTATCAATTGTGTGAATTTTTTGATGGATGAAGCCTGAATAAGTCCTAATACTTATTTTTGGGGGGAAAAGGGCCCATGAAGGCCCTTCAGACACCTCTGGCACATGGTTCTACTCCTTTCCCACCCCCACCCCCTATTTTTCAGTTGTTACAGACACACTGTAACAGGCCCCCATTTATAACCTAGGGACCTTCTCTTAAGCTGAATGTTACTGACAAATGTGTCTGCATATCAATTTTATTTTTGGGGGGAAAAGGGCCCATGAAGGCCCTTCAGACACCTCTGGCACATGGTTCTACTCCTTTCCCACCCCCACCCCCTATTTTTCAGTTGTTACAGACACACTGTAACAGGCCCCCATTTATAACCTAGGGACCTTCTCTTAAGCTGAATGTTACTGACAAATGTGTCTGCATATCAATTGGTCTCTCTCATTAACACTTGAGTGATATTTAGTGTAAAAAATAGCATAAAATACTCAAATGGGGTGCTTATGACTTATTTATAGGACTTATGTTGTCTAAAAATTCAGAGGGGTCATCTCTGTCCATTTGAGGACCCCTAATACTAGTAATACTAAACCAAGAGTTCACAACATTAGCATTACCCTCAATTTGAAAGTCTTCATTAATTCCCTGGTTGTTTTCAGCAGATTCAGTGTCAAATTCACTGCTAGAATATCAAAATTACTAAGCACAGTTTGATCAGAGTCACTGTCAGACATGTTCGAAATTCACGATGTAACTACACACACACAAAAAAATTCCAGCAAACAAATAAATTGAGTTCACCTTCAACGAACGCCGCCATTACAATGCCGGGATGTGCAGGAATACGTATGAATAATTTTGATTCGCTGGTACAACGCCAAGCCAGCCAATCGTGAGGCTCGATCTATCAGGCCGACGGCTCGGACTTGACGTCTTTCTCGCTAGTGTACCTCGGGCCGATAGATCGGCCCTTACGTCTCCAGAGGGTTAAATTTAAATAAAAACTTACCATTTTCTTTTAAGCCGGCTAAAATGCAGTTAGTGGCAGGGCCGGCAATGTCTTCTACGGTATGTACTATAGGTCATGGAGGTTCCCCAGGTCAACTATCGGCCAAAATATTTCAAAAACTACATAGGCCTACTAATACTGTATTTATTTTTATTTGATACATTTAAAAAAAAAAAATTTGTCTTAAAGAGGGGGGGGCGGGGTGTGTCTCCCCTCCCAAAAAAAAAAAAAATTGTGTTGAAATGTCCCTTTTAACTGTGACATTATAATTAGATAAATAAATGGCATAGCCTACAGATATTTTGTTTTCAACTATAAAAAAATAGCACTTTTAACCATGCACATCTTTTTTAAGGTCTTCATCTTGGGGTATCAGCAAGGATGATTTTCTCTTGTTATTTCTTTTGAACTAATGAGTGGCATTTGAATATAGGTATTTTGTTTTCAACCAATACAAATAACAAGCACTTTTAACCATGTGCATCTTTTTTCATGTGTTCATCTTGGGATATCAACAAGGATGATTTTTCTCTTTTTCTTTAAAAACATCTTTTCAGTTGGTCAAAAATGCAGTACTTCAATAATGAAGAAAAAAAGTCATGTATAATTTTCCTTGCTCTAAATATTTTTCAATTAGCTAATTTGCCCAGCTCAAACATGATGCCATTTAATAAATGAATGCCATCATTATTTTACTTAGACTCCAAGCTCTTGTGAAAAAAGTGATGGCAGTTCCAAAGAGGATGTACTGGATATTTCAGCAGGGCTTTTCACTGTTAGATTTGAGGAGACCAGATTTCATCCTGGTAATACATTAGAGTCAGTAACTTTAACATAACTTTGAAATTTTTAAAGTATTATTTTCAAAACCATAGATCCTCTTTAAAATATCTTGACCTCAAATTTCTAAATATTTCAGAAATGTGATTCTGCTTCTGCAAATGCTCTTTTGTGTGTCTTGTTCATTTAGGTTCACCTTTCCGTATTTTATTGGTGGGCGCTTCTCAGCATAGAAGTTTGAAGCCTTCCAATGGCACAAATTTCACAGTTTCAAATGAAATCATCAAACAGAGCTGTTTACTACTTGATCATATCCCTCACAATAACCAGGCTGTAATCTCTAAGGATTGTATGCTAAAAGTAAGTCTTTAATATGCATATGTAAGGCCCAAAAACTTATAATTAATGTCTTTATAGTTTCAAGAGCTAAAACTATTTTATTCATGGCAATTGAGATCATATCTATGTTTTTTATAAGTCACTGATTATGATAAATTATATTAAAAATAAAAATAAAATAGTTACTGGAAAGAAAATTTGTTGCTGAATGTGAGCAATAGCAGTAATTTATGTATAATTATTGTTACACATTACTTAAAATTAATTTTCAAAATTCTCAGATGTGTCTCTATCTTCAAATTATTAGTTATGTTTGTCTTCCCAGGGAAATGACTATCCACTTGGCGTCTGTAATGGGAGTACCTACTATGTGACCATTTACATACCAGACTTGGCTTGTGATGACTGCTCACTAATGTTACAACAAATAATCCCTAGCCCAGGTATTATTATTAAGTACACAGCATAAAAAAGAACCCACATTATAGAAAGAGAAACATTTAAAGGCATAGTAATCATTAAAGTAAGTGAGAGATTTGCAGTATAAAAAAGTAAATATAAAACAAAAGTTAGTTTAAAATTCAAAATAAAATATATTCTTTGTCATGAGCTCAAAAGAACTGACTACTACCATTTTGATTGATTGATTGATTTGATATTTATATTGCGCCGGTATCCATGCTATTTTAGCATGCTCACTGCGCTCTGGTCCTCAGAATTCTATTTAAACAAAAAAGTTTTTAATTGTTTTTTAAATGATTTTTTATCATTTACAATTCCCCTCAAAGATTGAGGCAAACTGTTCCATAAATTTGGCGCTATCGCTTCAAAAGAGCTCACTCCGTACGACTTTTTTCTGTGTTTATCCACTCTACTTGTTGGTTACTGTGGCTGATAGCTATGATATTACTTATGCAGGTAATAAATTATGTGATGTGACACAGCTAAATGACACTGGCAATGCTACAGATTGTCAGATGTACACCAGCTGCTCTAGGGTCAGAATAAGGTAATCACAACCTTTAAAAATAATCATAAGATTCCTGGTAGGGCATCCCTTAAGGCATGAGTGGGCAAACTAATTTCTAATTTTCTTTTTTATTTTAAGCAGTCCTTGATAATAGAAATCAACAATTGAAGTGTCAATGTACTCGGTTTGTGCCTAAATAAAACCATTGATAGATAATAAAAATTTTTATATATTAAAAAAATTGTAAAATCTTGTAAACAAATTAGTAAATGTTTGTGTCTACTTTGTAAAATATAATGTATAAGTGTATATGGGGGAAAAAATCGCAATAATTCACAATTCCTTATTGAGAGGTTGCTGTAACCAAAGTGGACATAATATATATATGTGCAACCCCCCCCCCAATAACTTTAGATTTGTCAGTGTGGCCATACGTACAAAAAGTTTGCCCACCCCGGCCTTAAGGAATATTAAGCATATAACAGTTAAGTAATTTTTTATTACCACTTTCTGTTGTATCATCTATACAAGTTTCATTAAGATTAAGATGCAGTATTTTGTCCATGAAAATCATCTTAACCTCATTTTATCAAGAGCTTTTTAAAATAATATTTTATTAATTCAGTTTAAAAGCAAATAACTATTTATTTAGGATTAATTTGCTTTAAATTTTTTATTTAAAATACTGTTTCTCAATTTTAGATGTTAAATGACCTCCAGACTTATGTTAAAAGCAACATATATTAATCCTTTAATAATTTGAATGATTGTTTTTAGACCCTCACCAGATGGTATTGGTAGGGACTTGAGCTTTTGTTCTGACTACCTGAAAAACATGCCTGGTGACTGGCCATACAGGCCCCAAGATTTATTTAAGGTGAGAAATTTGAGAGAGATCATAAAGAACCACAACATATTGAGAAGGAACCTTACTATTATCACTATGGAACTTTTTTAACTCTTTCAATGCGGAACAACGCACACTGCGTTCTTCCGCCGTTCTCAAAAGCACGGACCAACGCGCTGTGCGTTGTTTCAATATCACGTTTCTTTAATTGCTATTTCTCGGTTAAACTTTTTAAGCGCTATTTTTAAATAAGACTTTTACATAGAAGAGTGGTACTTCATTGTTTACAATCGAAACCAAGGCTTATTTATTGTCAATTGAAGCATTATTTTGACGATTTTCTTCGCGTTTTTTTTTTTTTTTTACTGTTGCTATGGCGACCCTAGGCTCTAGTAGGTACGTTTCCGAGACGATTAACAGTTAAAAAAGCTTTGAAATTCTTTTATAATATTTGTTTTGACAGCGAAGATGATTTATATTTAGATGCATCGCATGATTCCGATGGTAGTAGTTTTAGAGGAATTGATTTATAGAATTAAAGATGATGTATGCGTATATTGTTGGGTTTGGGGAAAAATGGTTTAGCATAAAATATTTTCACATTTTATGGTTCTTTCGTGTAACTTATTTTTTTTAAACTGTAGAAACTAGTGTACAAATATATAGTCCTTTTAATTACCTTTCATTTGATACTAAGTTTAGTCTTATAAACCAAAGAATAATATTTTTAATATTTTTTTTAAAAAACCAACCTCTCACTCTTTTTCCGCTCTTCGAAAAAAATTTACATTTTTTGGATGAAAAAATTCCGCAGCAAAAGAGTTAACGTAAATAACAAATAATAACATGTAAGCCAATATAACTTCTACACAAGACTTATAACACCAGGACAGTAAATTTCAATATTTCTTTCTGTTTACCTTTGTAAAGAACTTATGGCAAACAACTAGTATGAAGCTATGTTCCAAAATATATCATTGACATTGTTTTAATAGGTTTTGTTTTGAAGAGTTCTGCTTTTTTTATGTTTGTGTCCTAAATACATCTGCACTTTCCTTATTAATAATAAGGATATCTATCCATTGTGCTTCCGTGAAATCTGCAAGTGTACAGGTACAGAATTTTTCAGGCATGTTACGTAATACAGATAATGAAACCAATTTGGAGCTGGCTATCTATCAGTTATAGTGTCTTAGCTTCTACTAAGGCAGTGGTTCCCAACCTTTTTGACTCACTTTTTAGAATCAGTTTTTGTGGGGGAGCCCCAGAGGTGTATACAAAAGGGGGGTAAGGATCAGAGTGGGGTGGGGGATAAAGTTTATCCATGTAAAAAAAATTAAATGGGAAAGAAACAATACAAATATGCAATATTTTTTAATGGGGTGAAGATTTTGTAAGAGAAAAGGATGGTCATTTTTATTGTTAGGTTTGGGATGGGATTTGAACTCTAACCCTCTAGGGAGAAACAAGGTGTTTTGACAGACAGCCACTAGAAGAATATGGTGAAGAAAAGAAAATTATAGGTCTACTAAATTTATTTTTTTAATAATGACAGGATTTGATGTTTTGATTTACTGAAAATGTGAAGAATTATTGAGCTGTTAGTGAAATTATAAAAGTTTGTTACCAATCTTATTATTGAATAGTCATCAATGTTCTAATAATTTTTTAACTGTAAATTTTGTATTACTAATATGCATGATTGTGGTGAATAGAGTGCTGTCTAAAGGTTGGGTGCCCTTCATTATGGCCACAAAAACAATTACATCTGTGGTGAATAGAATGTTGTCAAAGGTTGTCTCCCTTCATTATGGCCACAGAAACTATTGCAGAGTCAAACACTTCTTTCCTCCTAGCCCCTGCAGAGCTGATGTGTTGTTTGAATCAAATGACACAAAGCTGTGAAAAGTTCAGGCTTCTTTATTTACTGGCTTCATATGCATGACAGTTGAAAATCCATTAGAAATAATAATTGCTGTTCATTGCAGAATATTTAGGCTTGTCCAAAAATTCTACACATTTTTTTTTTAAATATAGGAACAGCCCTCCTAGTGAAAAATAGATTAACTCCCTATCCAAAAATATAAATTTACTCCTCTAATAAATAATATTCACGGTCTCTCACGAAAATGTACACACCTTTTTTTCCCCATGTGGTTTTTCCCAACACTAAGCCGCAGTCATGTGTGACTGAGTTAAATTTGTTATTGAAGGGCAAACAACAAAAAGAAAAAACACCAACGCTCACTCACACAACATAACAAACATCATGACCTGATAAAGCAGAACCACATGATGATTTCTGATCGTGACAATAGTCAACTCCCATATTAAACGCCAATGGGCAATACCATGACTTAATTCGATGACTGGCATGACCCACACACAAAATTTACAAAGTCCAAGGTCGGGGGGGGGGGAGGATGATGACACACCACCATATGTTTTACAAGTTAATAAAGGTGCCTGAAGCAGCCATGGAGCCACGCAACACAGAAATAGTTAAATTATTTATGTCACTTTCTTGATAGAAAAAAAAAAAAATCTGTGCATAATTTAAGTTGTTGACAACCTCTGTATGATTTTAAATTTGTCTCACAAAGCTGTTTGTGAGGGGCAGAAAAAAAATCATTTTGTTTTACTGTTATACCAGACTGATCAAGGAGCTTCTTTAACACTGGATATTTTACACAAGAATCTCCACATTCTAGTTCCCAGTGGTCTTAAATTGTGAGTATCTTTTTACAGAAATCAATATAGCTAGTGCTCGACTTACGACCGCGATCAGTTCCGACAAACCAGTCGTAACACGATTTGGGCGTAACTTGAGTATGCTATGTGTACAGTAATGTGATGTTATAAAAATATTCAAGTTAAATTATATCATTTTATTTTTGTTATAAATCATAATTTTCGATGTTCACAACCGCCGATGATTCTAGACAACCCTGTTCGACTGATAATTGAGGCAGAAATAATTCTGATACAGTATGGCTAGTGATTGTGGGTGTAAAGTCGAATGGTTGTAAGTTGCATAGGTCGTAAGTCGATGACTTGCTGTACTGTATTTGATATTTCAATTTTAGGGTAAGAATTTTCTTCTACTAAGTATACCATTTGATATCATAGTATTGTAATGATCTTCTACAAAATTATTGCTCAACCAGGCTTGTTAATTTTGCTCATATTGTCTTTAAACCGCAACATGACTAGTTCCTACAGTGTCACTGTTAGGTACCGTTGTATGGTTTTTTGTACATATAATCTGCTTTAATTTTTGGTTTGTTTTTTCACCAGTTTACCAATTAAAAGAATATATAAAGAGTAAAAAATTAACAGAAATAAAAACTACATTAACTTACAGCATAGCAAGTGGAAAAAGTACATTCACTGGCCGCAAGATATTCAACTTAAAAAAAAAATATTATCTTGCGTAGCATTTATTTTAAGAAAATTTGAAAAGTGACAACACAAAAATATTTATTTTTATTCATACATTACATAATGCTTCTCTGTGCACCACATTTTACATCAATTTTTTTACCTTTAAATCAGGGGACCAATAGAAAGAGTGGAAGTTCGAGAAAATACCTCCATCATTTGGAATGTGACTGTGACAGAAAAACACGGCAACTCTGATCCAGTTGTTGTCACATGGAAAAATCTTAGTGCTACTGAACATGAAGAATTATCAGTAGGTCATTGTATTTTTGTGTGAACTTAAGAGTCATGAGGACTGTTTGTAAGAAACAGTTGGAGACAATTGGTTGCAGGGTGAGAATTATACAAGAGAAATACTTTTTTTTTTTCATTCATTTTTATGTACAAATCTGAACAAAACAACAATCCGTAATACAAATTTTTTGCTGTTGTTAAATTTATTTCTGCATTTTTCAAATAGAAAAACAAGCTGGTGTTGAATGTTGTGGGCTCTGAAAAATCTTTAGCAGAAGATATTCTATACACAGGACAGGTAGGCTACAAATTATTAGAAGTGTTGTTTAGCTCTGGTAGTTTTATTTTTGTTAAGTTGGTAAAGTGAATTATGTTCTTAAGATGATACCCTAAACTTGTAAAAATTATAAATTAGAAAGTAAAATCTATTTCATTTTGTTGCTGTAAAATGCCGGTATAAAATCACCAATAAACTGGTAAATGAATGTGGTAGAACCAAGGTCTAAAGCCATGCAACATTTGATATTATGGAATACAAAACTTAAATGAAACACTTTACGCTATTTTGCTTTCCATTATGATTGAACAAATCTAATTAAAGCATCAATATAAATTGTAAAAAAAAATTTGTTTACACTATTTTTGTTTATTAAAAGGAACTTAACTGTTTCTAATTATTTTAGTTTTTGAAACTTTTATTTCATCAGCACTTTACCGAAGGCCGGCTTGGTGCACTCCATGAAAAATACAGTGACAGTGGCTGGCTGGTATCCAGCAAATTTCTGGGTCCACTGGCTGAAGACCCTATAGCAGCAATACCCTCGGGACCTTGTGCGCCTATTGGTTCTTACTATATGGTGACTTTCCTTGACCAATCTTTAGTTGAGCTCACAGTTTAAGCCTTTTAAGAAGTTTATTACCCGTTTTAAGAGTCAATTTTGAAGTATTTAGAATTTATCCCAGTGTGGAAGACTTTTTATTATCTGTTATTATATTGAGAAAAGGAGTGCCAGTTAAATAATTTAATAGATGGCACATATCCCACGATTACTGTAAGACTACTCTCTTGTGCTACTTGTAACCGACGTGCACTCGGTCTGATACTTCCTAGTTATTAATGACAGGTATTGCCATGAAAGCACGGGACAATGCAGAGCATCTCTTCATCACCATTAACTTTGATTCACATTGAAGATTCACAATATAAAATAGATATCCGAATTGGAATGAAATAATTGTCATGACATCATATACTTCATACATTTTATACTCCAAACAGATGCAAGATGGCTGTTCCGATTTGATGTGATATAATCTTAGCACAATGCTAGAGCATGTACCATTGAAATAGATTTACTATATCTTTTCACATTCAATCCACTCTCTCTACTTCCTTCCTCTCTCTCTATGCATGACATCAAAATCCTCATTATAATAAAGATCACGAAACAATAAATTTTTATAAATATGGAGCTGTTACAATTACCATGAATGGAAAAGGCAATTTACCTCTTTAAAACAGTGTCCTATTACATATTAGGTTTCTTAACATTGAATGGATTGTGGATGAATCCCTCATAACAACAACTAAAGCAAAATTAGACTTTGTGAATAGAACTTTAAAAACTGATGTGATGGCACTGAGGGGGCAATGGCTTGAAATGATTGAAAATTCATTATTGAAGTTCTCAAACTATTGTTGTGTTTCTGAATTTTTTTATTTGAGTTCAGGCCTACCTCCAGTCTGTTCATGTAACCGCTCATGGTATTTTGGGCATGACAGTATTAGAAAACAGAGCCTACATCACAGCTGTGCTTCATGTGGACAGGGAAGAGATACAGACGATCAAAATATCTGGACCAGAACTTGTTGGTAAAGGAAGCATTCAGTTTTATAAAATGCATCATTTCCTTTAAAAGTTTAAGGAAACATGTAGCATCAAGTTCTTGAATGCTAAGTGCAAACAGATCCATTCTAGTTTTGGCTTTGATTTTTCTAGCATTAACAAGTTGTCACAGCTTCATCAATAGATGGTTTACCTATATGTAAACTTGTATTCAATTAGCAAATGAGCTGAAATGTTCATAATTGGTTGACCGTCTTATCATTCAAATATCTTTGAGGGCCCACATATATTCAACATATGTATAATTATTTATAACAAACACACAAATAGAATCAATTTATATTATAAATTACATTATGTAAAAATAATTTGACACAATTTCAAAAATAGCTTCATTGGACTCCTCATGGGCCTGTGAAAACAAGTTGTATAACCAACCTCTGCACTACATGCATCATGAAGTTTTATATGGGGTTGTTTTGTTTTGTTGGTCAAATTTTTACAAAAATCATCTGTCTGTGGGCTGTTCAAGTAAAATTAACCATAAAATGTCCTCTGTGGCATAATGAGCCACCATCAAACTAACATTTAATTGATTTAACTTTCAGATATTCCCCCTATTGAGATCAATGTGACGCCATCTTTTAATGGTGTTTTAATGGCATCTGTTGATATCAGCAGTCAGCTGCCTTTCATTAATACAGGTACTCCTCACATTTGTTACAACTAGGTCTGCTCATTATTATCATTTGCTTTGTGGAAACTAAGTAAATTGAGAAATTTTAATTTAGTATTTTGTTGTTTTTTTAATACATATTGAAATATGTCTATATTTATTATACGTTAGTGAGGTTTCTAAAGTCTGTTACTATAATAACTGACAAGGAGAAAGATGTTCTGGAGGGAGATTTGGAGGAAGGCATGTTTGTAAGTAAAACTTAACAAAGTTACATTAAACTATAATAGATTATACACAATCTGCTCTTCTATTACCCTATTCTAGTCTGCTATTCTATTACCCCTATATCAGTGGCCCCCAAACACCGGGCTGCGGACCGATACCGGTCCGTGGATAAAATGGAAAAGAAATATTCAATTATTTCCATTTTATAAGCTTACCAGATTTTCTGGATGATAAGTACGGACACAGAGGCTCACAGCAACCGGAACCATAGAGGCGGTTAGGGTGGGGTGGTGGTGTTGTCCTGGTTTTTTTTTTGGGGGGGGGGGTTTTCCCCCCCCCCCCTTCCCCCACCTGGTGTAAGTGGCTTTTTGTCCCCCCTCCTTTTAAAAAAAACCAATGGGGGGGGTGGGGGGGGGGGGGGGTGTTGTCCGGGTTTTTTGGGGGGGGGGGGGGCCCACCCCCCCCCCCCTTCCCTAAACTGGTACAAGTAGCTTTTAGCCCCCATCCCTTTAAAAAAAAACCAAAGACATCAAACAATTTAATGGGTAATTTTGACGTCTCTGAATAAACATTTTTTTTTTTTAAATGAGTCACGTGTTTATATAGCCGACAATTTGGCCAGCCCAGTGGTCCCCATATTATGAGTCGCTCTGGTTGCCATGTTGCCCTCGGGCAGAGCCATGAGAATAGGGCAAAGAGGGCAGTTACAGCGGGCACCAAATTCTTCTTTATATGGTATCTTAATAGTGAATTAAAGTATTAATGGCGGAATACCCTGAGATTGCCACCACAGCACTTAAATACCTATTGCCATTTCCGACATCCTATCTGTGTGAAGAGGGGTTTTCTGCAGTGACAGCAACCAAAACAAAACAACGGAATAAACTGGACATAAGCAGCACACTTCGCGTTTCATTGTCTCTTATTACCCCAAGATGGAACCAGGGCCGGCCTTAGGCCACTGCAACCTATGCGGCGCAGTGGGCCCCGCACTTTTTCCTAATAAAATATCTTAATTTTCACTTATTATCCTTATCCCTATCCAGGCTGGGCCCCGCGCAGTCCGTTTCGCATAGGGCCCCGCAATTATTAGGGCCGGCCCTGGATGGAACCATCTCGTTGCAGAAAAACAAGCTCATGGTTCTCATTAATTTAGCGTTATAGGGAGTTAAAATGATAAATCAGTTTATATTCATTTTTGATGTAACTGTATTTTATTTTGAAGCCATGTTTAACTACAATAAAATAAAAATTAAAAAACAAAACAATCCAAAATATAAACAATCGACACCCTCAACCCCTCAGCGGGCCGCTGTAAAATTATCAAACGTTGACCGGTCCGCTGCCATAAAAAGTTTGGGGACCACTGCCCTATATTATAACTAGTTATAACCCAACAAACAATGGCAGCGTCAATGTGTGTGTATAAAGCTACTTGACAAAACATGCATTCAAGAAAAGCACTTTAAAAGCACCACCCCCTACACACACACACACTTTTTTATGCCCCTGACCTATATTTGTATTCTAATGGTTTCTCCCCCCCCCCCCCACAACTTTTTTTTTACACAGATTTATTACATCATATTTAAATCGAGACTATTTTATTAAACAATTTATGCACCAAAAGCAGTTGCAGTATTTTTAAGAATCTCATTTTGCTCAGTTATCAGGAATTTTATTTTCCACTCTATTGAACTCATCGTTACACCATACTTTCTTTCATACCTAGAGAATTATATTGTGGTATTATATTGATATTCTTGCAAATCAGGCTGTTCTCAGAGATGGCAGGGGTCAAGTGCAGGGAATGGCAGATCTCCAGTTCACACAGGGACAATGGTTAAAAGTGGATATTGTGGTAAACAAAATGAAACAACTCTTTAACAAATAAGCCACACTGGAAAATAAATCTTGCATTTTATATGAGTTGAATCAGTTTAAAAATAAATTTCTTAAAAAATAGCCACCTGTTACAGTTTAAGATCACTTGTGGTTCCTTCTCCTTTTGTTACCCAAGCAGAATTCTGCTACAAATATCCAAGCACATAAGTTACTAGGAGTTTACAATTTATCAAATTACAGAGTTTATAATCCTACACCTCAAATGACTGTCTAGCAAAGAGGAATGTGGCACATGCAAAAATTAGTAAGCATGTTTAGTTCTTAAAATGTAAATTTTTGCGTTTCAAAGCTGAATGACCTGTCCCCAAAAGTCTTAACGGCCTTACTTCTTGGGCCAGAAAACAGTGTTCTGTTAGATCTGAGCAGGGAGACCATTCACTGTACACAGGCATTCTGCTGTCTGGAGGCCATTGCTCACGTATGTGAAAAAAACATGCAATTAATCATAAGATTTATTTCTGTTTCTATGATTGATATAACTTCTTTTGTGATAAATGGTGATCAATTTAAGAGATACATCATTTTTTTTCCCCCAGTTTATTAAAAAAAATTTTCAATTAAAATTGAGGGTTTTTTTTTCATTCATCACTGTCACTTAATTACAATACAACGATTCTGTTTGTTTGTTTGTAGGAAGTTACTAGTGAACTTGTCCTTCACCTTATGAAAGGTCAGGCCATAGTTAGAGTAACAACAGAAGGTGGAAATGTCACAGGCAATGTAAGTCCATTTTATATTAGTTATGTTACCTGCTTCTGCTTGTCAAATTACCTGCACATATTTAACAAATGGCTGATGGCTTTCTAATGTTAGTTATTAATTCATTTTAAAAAAATGTTGTTTCTGTATATTTTAATCTGTAAATTCTGCTCAAGCTTTATAATTAGCCCACAAATAATGGTTTTAAATTGCAGGTCTTGGGGTCTCCTTTTGGTTATTGCAACCTGGCAGGTGGAGCTTGTAAGTAACTTTTTATTGTCTTAATTTCCACTTTGCACACCCTACAAAGTCAAAGAGAAAGTTAATGTTAGAAAAACAGAGGAAAGTAGATACTTAGTTTAAAGGAATAGTGATGAGAAAGAGGTCCAGGAGAATAGTAAAGAGCTGAAGGCAAGTGTACCCACAAATATCATGTCTACAGGTCAGGAGTTATTTTACCAGTTTTCTATGAGTGGCCTGGGTGTGGAGGAGATGAGAAATGATGGAGAAATGGAGGAGAAAAGAGGCTGGCAAGAAACAGAAACCTATGTTTTAGACCGGGCCAACATACTTCAGTACTGGTGGGTAATTTTTTTTACTCCCATTTGGTGCTGGACACATATATTAAATACTTGTTTAGCATGTTTGTCCGCTTATTATTGTATAGACTCTTACTCTTCAAATATGTTTGATTGTTGATGTTTGTTTTAAAGATCAATCCTTATCTGTAATGTCTAGTGTACAAGTAGACAACCCTGCATGGAGTGGCAAAAATTACACCCTGAGCCTTGTGACAAGGGATGAACAAATAGATGAAGTACCATTTAATCCACTGCAGGATTTTACTCATTCCTTCATTGCTTGTGTAAGTACAAAAAGCACTAATTTTTAGTGGTGAGGCTTTGGTAGCCATCACACCACCTAGGCCCTGCAGGGCTTTTTAAAGAATGATATTTTACCTCATCTGAGCACATATTTACCATATTTGAAAACAAGTCTGCAGTTGTAATTGAGACAACCAATTAAAATTGGAGTTACCTGTTGCACATCATAAATGTCTTAAATCTGATTATAAATTAACCAGAGAGACAGTTATTTTGATAGTTTTGAAGCACAATGAAAGTGCAAAAGCCAATTTCAAAAGTTAGTTGATAGTCACAAGAAAGTAAAAAGTGTATTTGAATTTAGTATTGACCCTTTTTTTTCACAGAATAACATTCCATTGGATGAAAACTCACCTCTCATTTCTTCCCTGGCTGTCAACTCACACAAACCAATGACCCTGGTGATAAATGATGGCCTACATAAGTTGGTATCCCAGGAGCTCCCACACATCTCGAGAGGAGAATGTATACAGAGTAAGGTCAGTGACCATCTTACCACAGAATTCCTCTTTAATGTTGATAATTCTTGTACCGGGTATATAAGATTTATTATATCAGAAATCTTTGATAAATAACTGTAAGGAATAGCATGTGACTTATCCTCACACACAAAACACTAGAGGATAAAGAACCTTTGCAGGTAGACACTTTGGCTATTATATCAATCAGGTTTTGTTATCCTGAATGTTACTTTCACACATTTAGCAGAATCTGTCATTTATTAGCAGTTATTTGGATTAATAGTCTATTTAAATATAGTTTGCTTTAGGAATTTTCAGTATCAGTAGGCCATAACTTATATGATCAAAGGATGCTTTTGTGATTTAAACAAATAGGTCAATCTAGGTAAATTTATTTTCAATCCATAGATCCATGTTGTGGGCAAAGATAAAAGTTACTGGTCACCTGACTCTGCACCATTCCAAGATATTTATGCTGTGGTCTCTGACAATCTGAAGTTTATTTTTGAAAAGAACTCTACACTTTACCTTATGGCTTCTGAAGTTTGTAATTTTGAAACTTTTAAATAGACAGATAAATGAAATATCAGCTATCTTTATTCTGCTAAAAACACAATGTCACTGTTTCGGTCAGTGCTTCTGAAAGCTAAAAATAACTTGCATTCTATTTTTAAAGATTTACTTTTTTTTTTACTGGTATCCAAATTATTTTCATAAATACAAAAAGCTGCATCTTGCTAAAAATATAAATTTATGACAGCTTTATATTGCTTTCTATTTTTCATAACATCATTTTCGTTACTCTTTAGAAAGCATACAGAAATTGTGACTTCAGTGGAGCCAAGCTGCTTCCTGCCATGGACACATTAGGGGAAACTGCCTTCTATCTGCACTCTATAACGGAAGCTGGGAAACTTTACTTTTCTGATGGCACACTTTGCAATACATCTAGTCCTCAGAAGATCACAGTCCATGTCATTGGTGGAGGTAATGCTTTTGAAGGGAGGTATCTATATGGGGGGAATTTATTTATTTATTTCTGTAAACAAAAAATTCTGATGAGTAAATTTTATACTAGATTCATAAATTTTAAATCTCCCATTTAAGGTTATAAAAATGTGTTTCTGAATTCATTTTATACCTTAATGATATTCTAATACAGATTTGTTGACTGGCAAATATTTTCTTGTTAAGTTACAGGTGTGAAAGATGGGGTAGGCAAACATTTTGCGCAGAGGGCCGTAGCAAATGATTTTTTTTATTTGGTGTACTGTTAAGAAAAATTATTGTAATAAAAAATTACTAGAGGAACGATAATCATTCTCTGTGTGGAAATAATAATTATTATTTATAACTCAAGTTATTTTCATAATAGTAAATAATTCAAACAACAAAATTGGTAAACTTCTAAAAAAAGTTTACAGCACACTTGTCAAGCCAAGAAGACTGTGCCATTATTTCCACACAGAGAGGGATTATCGCTTCTCTTAACTGCGGAAGAGAGCTTAGAAAGACAGTGCTATAACTTTTAGAATTTATCTAATGATATAACGGGACTTGTTTGCTCCGCCAGATTTGTTCAGAGAATTCTGTGTATTTTAAAATACATTATAGAAGATTTGCTTTGACAAATCACACCCAGTTCAGTAGCAAATAAGCAATTTAATCATTTTTAAATCTCCTGTGATTATCATTACATGCTGACAATTTTGCACTGTCTTGTTAATGTTCAAGATTTCTAAAGAAAATCATTTGAAAATTTGGATATTTTATAAAAACATTAATCCTTTTCCCAGATTGTCTTGCATGTCACATAAACATCTCTCCAGATCTCAACTCTGCTCTAGACTAAAGCACTTGCTTATAAAATAGAACTATAAACAAATGTGTTAAGGATTATTTAATTCAACATAGTGCCAGTATCGCTATTTATATGCATGCAATTTAAAATTAATCTTTTTTAAAAGAAAGTGTAGGAATTAATAAAGTAATGCAATATACTTATTTTGTGCCTAATTGTATTTCTCATAATATACTGTTTAGTAGAGACGGTGTCATAAAAAAATCTATATTTCTATTCAGCAAGCGCAATGCAGGATGACCGTCGTGATGAATGGTGTCGTAAATCCATATACAATGTCTGGCGAGATGAGCAGCTCAAGACCTGGGAAGAACCAGATGTATCTGGACGAATTCTGATTGGCTTGTTGGTTGGATTGGCCAGCGCTGGTGTATTTTTGGCTTGGCAGGGAGTCAGGATAAAGAGGTCGACAGAATCGTTCAGGGGTCACAGTGATAATGTTTTTGTTAGGTTTTAACCATTTTCAATGTTCACTTTGCTAGACCTTTTCAGTAAAATTAATTGGATTTTTTACTGGGTGAAAATATTTTAAGGTGAGCGATTTCATGAGATGAAGAGTTTTGGTTTTGTTTAGTTTTGAAAAATACTGACTGTTAAATAGTGTAAACCCAATTTTACTAGTTCTGGAATGCACATTGCACTGTGTTACTATTAACTTCAGTGTACTTTCCAAATATTTAATAGTACAGTAGCATTAACTTTTTTAAGTGCTTGCATAAGTCATACTGAGCAGTTTACACTTTACATTCAAAAATGTAATAGAAATGTGATATTAAAGCAGACTGGTCAAGCCTTTCAGAAGTGTAAAAGATTCCTTTCTTCATTGCCACGTTATGGAAATAAATTAACCAGGGAAATGATATAACTAACAAATAGGCATCAGATCATTCTTGTTTCCACTTTTAAAATTATTTTTTTTTATGTGTATTAGTATTATTTTTTAATTTACTATCATAAAATGGAAATTATATAATAAAAGTTATAACCCTCCAAACAATTTCAATCATGAAATTCCCATCTACTAAAATTACTTGACGAAACATGCAATCAAGTAACGCACTTTATATAAGAATACCAAACCAATTAGCGCTAACCACCAACACACCCCCCCCCCCATACACACAAGCGTACGCCACCTCACACTTTTTGTACACGCCCCCCTCACACTTTTTGTACGCCCCAGAACTATATTATATTCTAATGCCCCATCCCCCTTTACAATGCAGATTTATAATTATTGCATCATATTTAAATTGAGGCTTGCTTGCTGGAATTTTTCAAGACAGTTACTGAAACATATTTACTGTTTATTACACGAGTTCCCAACCCATGATTCCAGATCCCATATGATGATGTGAAGGGTATTTTGTGGGGTCCCGTTGATACAGTAAACTTCAAGCTCGCTGAGTCACGTGTTTAAACACAAAAACATATGCTGGACAAGATGGAAATGCGAGTAGAAAGAAAGTCTTAAAAACAAAACAATGTGAGTGGGGGCAGTATTGTCACTATAATGCTGTTATACACCTCGTCACCTATACCTGTCATTGCTGTCCTGATCCATTCACCTACAAAACTCGGCTATGTAGGGTTTCTACTATATACAACAAAATCTGCATACACTTGAAATGAAGACATTTGAGATGCAAAAGAGTTATTTTGTATATCTTTTTGGTTGCTGTTTAGAGAATAATGTTACATGCTTACATAATTTATGACGCATCCAGTGACATGTTTAAAACATTCAAATTTCATGTTATTGTTATTAAAAAAAATTTTAGATACAAACTTTATACTATAGTATACATCAAGACTATTTTTATATAAATATAAACATAGACACTTTATTTTCATTAAGTCAGATCACTCACATGACAAAATTGTGACCACTTTTAAACCATTTGCATATTTAAAGATAATATTCTCAGTTGATATATTTTATAAAAAATAGTTTTATATGTATTCAGAAATATTTCATAAGAAGAAACATTGCAAATCCCATCTACATGCATAGGAGCCAAAATGATCAATAAATTGATCGTGGGCCCTTAAGATATAGAAGAAGAAGAAGAAGAAAGTGTTTCATTGTACTTGGTTTGGCATTGTTTTTTTCAATGTTTATATTTTCTTCTATACCTCACTGCTAATTTTTTGGCACAGATATTATAAGTTATTGGCTTGTTTTAACTTATTATTTATACAACTGTTGTGAATTTTTAGTCCCTTTCCATCACTTAAGAGTTGTGATTTTTTTTTTCAGTATTTACATCATTTAAACCATTTTTTCGTAGGTTCCTCTTTGAATGGATCATTACACAATCTTAAAAGAACAACATTGATCCTCATCAAATTTTTAATAGAGATGTAGTGTAAACCTAGGTTGTACTTCATAACTTAGCTTTTTTTGAAGATATCCATATCAAATGTATTTCAAGGTACCTGATTGATTGTGCATCTGCTTTTATAGTTAAAGGATGCTGTTTATTTTATTTTTTTTTAAAGGACTGTTTGGTTTATCTTTTTGTGCTAATATAGTTTTCAGAACATGTCTCTTTCTTTCCTTGTTGTAAATATAAGATATCTGAATTTGTTTGACTATAAAAAATGTCCAAATATGATAAATCTGACGCAAATGTTTATGAACTTTGAAATAATACAAATATTAGGTGATAGTGATCCCAACCTTAAGCATGACATGGCCATATTCAAGACCTCAGTTCAGAAAAGGATTGAATTTTGTGTGGGCCCATTTATTTACCAAATTAACTGTATACGTCTGCAGGCCAAGTGTTTTGAAACAGTAATGGGAAAATATTAATTATGAATGCTGTTAGTCAGAGATTTAATATGATTTCATAATTTCTTGTATTTTATTGCTATTGCACTTTTACTTTTAAGTGTGAAAATGTTTTTTTTTTTAAATTCAGTATTTTCATGTTGTGCTCCTTTGTGTTCAACATTAAATGTTTATACTTTGTTGTGTCTGCTAAAAATTTAGCTAGTCTTTTACTTATGATTCGCTTACCACCTAAAATACTTACTTGAAATAACCTGTTTGTGAAGGTTCTATATTGTGAATACCGGTACAACAAATGATGTATAATATTGCTCCCTGCTCTCCACTCCTCATGGTTGGATATTATTTTGTGTGGCTTATCTTGTTTTGAGATAAATATTTTGTTAAAAGTTTAATGTCACTAATCAGTTATTCATATATTCTTCTCAGTGTTTCAATTTTTTTTTCAGTAGGAGCACAAATACTAAATTTTGTTTCACTGTTAATTAGCAAAATTTTAACCAAAAAATTAATGTTTAAGATTTGGTGTCAGTTGCACAACACTTAGAAAAATTTGCTGATGTTATATAGCAAGATCAGAATCTCTAGTCCAAGTGATAATTTATAACTATACCTTAAAAAAATGTTTGTGCCCATTTGGTGCTTCCACTCTTGTCAAAGATAATATTTATACAGATAATCTAGTTAACATGTAGCATTAATAAATATATTGTTAACATTGTTGTATACATACTTGTCAGCTTAGACATTTGAGCATTATTATATAGACATTTTATTTCCCACATACAATATTACACATAATTAAAGGCTGTAAATTACAAACATTTTAAACTTTCAACAGAAACATAATATTTTCCCAATACTTTATCCTGTCAACATTTTAACATATCCCATTCATGAAATTAGGAAATTTTTGTTCAGAGCAATCAGGTAATTGTGCAAAAGCAGTAGTTGCCAAAATTTAACGGTTTTTGGAAAAGATTATCTGCATCAATATTTTTTTCTTCTAACATTTTAAGAAAAAGATTTCTTTCTAGTCTGAAAGGCTATCTTAAAATGTTAAAAGGCATACATAAAATGTTTCAAAGCATGTAAATGTCAACATAACAAAATAAGAACAAATTGTCCCAAAATGTTCATTGAAATTAACAGAATTCTCACATGAATAACTTGAGTATTGACATTCCATGATCTCATATTAAGTTGCTTTTTTTTCTAGCTGCTGTTTTGAAATTTATAATGAACCTACTTAACTCATTTTTAAAAGTGATACAATTTTTATTATATTTATTATCATCCGAGTGTAGAGTAAACTATTCTATTGTGTTAAATTCATACTTACCACATTATACCAAATTGCAGTATTTTTATTTATTTAATGGCTTAATCAAAACTATGTTTTTTATTTCAACAATTAGTTAAAGAGAAACATATTTACTAAAAGTTAGTAAAAGATTGAGTTTTATAAGTCAGAGATTATTATTTACTGGTAACGTGTATTTTAATTTGTGTTGAACCCTAGTAAGCCAATAAAATGTTTGTATCATAATGTGTTTTTTAATCCATTTCTGGGAGGGGACTCTTGTTATTGTAAAGAAAGTTTCAACTGTTGTGTAATTCTTTCATCTAATGACAAATTAACTTCTGCGTTACATAGTTTTTATTTGTACAGTGGCATCTTCCAAACTAGCTTGACAAATCAAAGTCAGAGCTCCGTCAACATATTTGTAACAGACTCTCTTCTATCACTTCTCTTGACTTCCATTTCTCTAACTCCAAGCTCATTGCCAGCAGAGAAACTCGTATGAATATGATTCCCACCTACCGATATTAAACCAACTAAGTACATCTTTCCCATCTGACTGGTGGCTTTAACTTCGAAATCTGAAGTTCATTGGTTAATGGTTATGAAGTCCTTTGCTTGCATGGAGGTGGCTGTGAAACCTAATTCTGAACTTTAGCATTGCATTGCAGCATTGTCAACTGATGGGTTGCCTGTCCCCTTCCCATAAAGCTTCTTTTCATCTGTGCCTATCCCACTCTAGCCTACAATTAAATAACTCTACTCCCCATCCCCCAATTATACTTTATTAAAAATAATAATATAAAAACTTTTCAAAAATTCATTTAAATTTCAATGGTCACACTTCAGGCCAGGGTGCTCACACACCAATAATAGTACATCTTATACCACAGAAACTGAATGTGGGTGATTTTCAGCTTTTGAATGATAGCATACACTAAAGTTGGCAAACTGTCCAGCAGCCCTCACCCCTCCCCAAAAAGTCCAGCTTTTTATTAATTTTTTTACAGTTTGTTTTAATTTTAACAAATTTCATTTAAGCACCAAAATATATGGAATCGTATGTGATGCTCCTTTTTTTTTTCTTTTTTTATGCATTCACATCCTAATTTTTGGCCAAGTTTTTATTATAATACAGCGCTTCCACTTACTTTGCCATAAATAAATCCCTCTACCTAAAATTTGACTGTCCCATTTTAAAACACACCCCTCCCTGACCTACACCTAGAAATGTAACGCTACTCTTTGACAGGTGCTCCTCATAAAAGCAATAAACATATTCTGAGCATTATTACACTAGCTTTGATTTAGTTTGAGGATGCTATGCCCCTATTACTAGTATTATCCATTAAAATGGAAGCCTAAGACATCCACTCTCCAAACTTAAAAGTAAGTGTGCTTAAGCTAAAACATAACCTGGCTTAAGCATTGTCACAGTTTTGGTAGAAAAGATGATAACTTTGATTAAGTATCTATTCTTGGTCCACCCCACTCAATTCTGAAAGATGATCTTTTAATTACTTGGCTAATGTTAAATCCTTCTTTCTTTAAAGCTCCCTCAACATTATTGTGCAACAAATGCTACAGTACAAGCAACAGCAGTTGGTGAGTTGAAACCTCACATTTTTTCCCCAACATTCTGAACTTTATTAAACTTTATCATTTTATTTTATTACCATGAGGATGAGGGTTAAAAGTTGCTCGTTTCTAATTTTTCTAATAACTACCAGAGTTATTGTTTCTCTTTCACTCACTTTCAAAATTTCGGGCCTTGATATTAAAAATGATCAATAAAATGCTTTCATTTGAATTATGTATTACTCGTAGACACGATTATATTCCAAAAATAAGTATCCTCGTCATATTTTATCTTAAGTTTAATTGTTATATTCCAAGTTTGTTCAAAAAGTCTCTAACATTAATATGAACATTTAAAAACCTTTCTGCCATACAATTGCTTTTAAATATGCATTTGGCATTTGCTTATTTGATTGAATATTTGTTTTTCGGTTGTTAGAATCATCGCCGGAAATGTAATTTTCTGTGTGTACAAAGATGGCTGCTCCCTCAGTTAGTGTTAGTGTTGAGTCGGCTATTGAACATCAAATTCAAGAAGTTCGATACGATGGCCAGGAAGTTTATGTTTCGTAAGTTGGAATGTTTTATAATTATGTTCGAGCAAAGAACTAGCAGTAGCGAAATTTTCTCTTTTATTGTACCGGTGTTAAAGTAAAGCAATTATTACTTAGTTAACATAGAGTACTTAGACTTAAAGACTTAAAGGAAACTTTGTTAGTTAGTCAACTCCGACTCCAGTGCAGACTGAGTGTCTGAGGGGTTACATTGTAAAGGGAGAACGTCCTACGCCTACAACTAAAAAAATCAATGGCAACAGTGACACCTGACTCACTAAACTCAGAAATCAGCGCAACATTGACTGAGTTTCTATAGTCTATAGTGAAAGATTATTATTATTAGATTCTCTCCCCCTTTTTTAATTCGTGGGGAGTTAGCTCTTCTCTTTGGTATCCAGTATTTCAGGGAATTTCAATGCAATGCTTAGATACTTTTATCAAAAATTTAAACATTTTGTAAAAATAAACCAATGGCATAGTTAAATAGAGCTAATTTTTTACAGAATTATAACACCAAAATCATATTTTTAGCTGTTGTAGTTTTAAAGTTATGAATTTTTAAAGTACGACTTGGTTTGGCCTTTTTTTAACATGGACTGCATCTCGATATTCTTTGACCTCATTCCGCTGATCGCGTCATGCGCAATGACTATATAGTTTATATAAGGCAACGCATTCCCTTATCACTAAAATACTGTTTAGGGTCCATTTATTTTAAACTTTCAACTTTGGCACATGAATAATTAATTAAAGCTTTCCCTGACCAATGGTTTAATAGATTTTGCACACGGCAAACTCTTATGAATGAAACTCTGAGATAGTACTACGATATAGCCGTTATGCAAATGGCTGTGAATGATTGCCAATGACAACGTGTTGCACAGAGAAAATTCTGATCATTTATAATATGGACTCTTACAGGGTTTTTAAAGCTCAAATTAAAACATTCCAGTTTAAATGTCTTCAAAATGCATTCTGAAACACAAAATATAAAATATTTTGAAGTATATAGTGGTAATAATTAAATATTTCCTAAGTATCGGCAACTTCTGCCATTAAAAAGGGGGCGTGGCCTACGGCATGTCGAAATAAGGCTGAGCCAACTTATGGTGATATGGGTCACTGGGAGAAGCGTAACGAGCGTGGGACACGACCTACATCAATGAAACTTGGCACAGATATAGATCAATATCTAATGCTCATACAGATTTAATAAAAAAGGGCCTTATCTTATTATTTCACAAAAAAATTTGTATGCGAAGATGCCTTATATATACCAAAGATCTTCAAAATAAAGGTCGATTGAAAAAAGCAAAATAGCTGGCTAGAAATGTAGGCCAAGATGTCTTCCAAATTATAAGGCCGGAAACGGAACTCAAATATTTGTCGAAAGAACTAATTTAATAATAAATTGACACACACATCGGAAAATTAAAAACTCGTATTTTTTGGCCTATTTTCAGGGAGAAAAAGTGTGTGCTATAGGCCAATAAATATGGTATATCCTTCCAGACTTACTTATTGTATCAGGCTATTCAGACAGATTGGCAGCTTATGCAAACATAAACAAGATCAGACACAGAATCTATGAACACTCCTTGTACTGGTGCTTTTTCATTTTGCATTTCATTAGAGGCATCCTATTAAATTACCATGTGGAATATGAATATGGTGATTTCATAATTTTGTTGTTACATCATTTGCATTTAGGGAAAAATGATTTGTTTGAAAAAATTAACTGTTCATTATTTTTATTTTTTATTTCAGGCCTCTCTCCATGTCAGAAAATTTAAGTAAACTTGCACATAAGATTGACTTCTTTAAAGATGAGAGTGAAGAAAAGGGAAAGCCAACATCTGAAGGAGAGAAAGAGTCTGATGAAGAGAAAGTCCTGGCACCTTTTCAACCATCATTGTGGCCATGGGATTCAGTGAGAAACAAGCTCAAGTACGATGGCCTTTCTATTTCCATTTTATTGCATTTCAACATAAGTCTCGTTTTGGATGTCCTTAGTTATTGATCATGAATGTGTTAAATTTAATTAGATAATGTTACTGTTAAATGTAAAATTGACAATGCAAATTGTTTGTACAGAGCTGCCTTTACAGAGATCAGTGTGCTTTATGATGTACTTAATATAGTTAAAGAGAAACACTATATGGTCACTGACCCAGTGTCTCAAGATCCTCCAGAGCTCAAGGCCTCGCTACAGATGTTGGCAAAAAAAAAGGTTTGAAATGAAGTTAAAATATTTTTTTTTAGAATTTGTTAGACTCCTTGCAGTTTGGTTACAAAGTTTGAGATAATAAATACAACATTTCTGAATTATTTTTTAATATATTTTTATTAAATGACCTTATCCTTCAGCCCTCAACACTTGTAAAAAGCAGTTTTCTTTTGTATACAAAATATTTACAGGTATATTGGGGGATATTTTCAATTAACCATGATAAGGACAATCAGAATATTTTAATAGTTATTATAATCTACAGAGCCTTGTAGCAGCAGCTCAAATTTTGTCTGTGGGTGCTGAGCGTTTAAAGAGAGTTCAAGCTGAAATGGCCTCCAATACACAGGAAAATTTTCTCATGGAACTTCTTAAACTAAGAAAAAATTGGCGTCTCAAGAAAGTCCACAATACAATCCTTGGAGAACTTAGCTACAAATCTGGTACATAATTGTTATTCTTCATGTGTATAATAAAGAAATTGTCTCTTTTTCTCTGTAGAAATATAGATGAAAATATTTGGTTCTAAGTAAAAAAAAAAAAATCGTACATTTATTCCTTTGCTTGAATATTTTTATTATTTATTTTTTTAATCTTCATTTAATATTTTTCTTCTTAGAAGGAAGAATGAAAATGCAAGGAAAGTTAATTCTGGGTTGGGTGAAGGAAGAGTAGTGATCAAAATTTCCAAAGACATATTTTAATATTTATCTACAAGCTAGTTAGCAACTCTTTGGTTATTAATTTTGACCCCTGAAATTTAATATCTGATAATAGATTGATGTACTGTAATAAGTGTAATTTGTCATTAGCTGGTTCGAGATTCTGGCAAGGTGGAACATTTGAAGTTCTGAAAACATCGGACCTTGCAGCAGAAGGGGAAGTTGTTTACAAAAAAAGTAGCCTTGATGTCAGCATACCCAGTGAGCTTGAGGGGGTGGCTTACATACAGGTTGAAGTCAAGAATGTCACGGGTATGGAAGCCTTACTGTAAGATTTATTTTAACAACGCTCCATGATAGAGATTAATATATTTTAAAGTGAATATTTGAAGTGCAGCCACTTTTGCCCTGTGCCACTCTCTAATTGATACTAGAGAGATAAAATCTCATAAAGAAACTACTAGTATGTTAAAATTAAACATTAAATCTGCTCTTTAGCATTTATGTTGTTTCTGTTAATTCCTTCAGACCTGATGGATATGACAAGTGCTACACTAAAGATGCCTGCAGGACTTGGATCTGTGCCAACAGATGCATACTGGCAGCAAAAGTTGGAGGTTGCTCAAAATGTGCTGTTTTGCAAGGAACTATTTGCACAGGTACACCATTTTTTGCCTTTATAAACACAAATATAATTATTTTTACAGTAGAAAACATTAAATTATATGCATTTTCAAATTAAATCTTTTAAAAATAATGTCCTACTGCTTCTTTCTTTAAAAATTTAAGAATTTTACCTAGCTTTTTTTTTTTTTCATAGTTGGCACGAGAAGCAGTTCAAGTCAAAGGCACAACTCCTCATATGGTTGTTGGCAATCAAATTCTCACAAACGTAAGTATTGGCTTGTTAAATCTTGAAGTTACCCAGTACTTCCAAATCCTTTTTTTTTATCCCTTGTTATTTAAACAATTTTTAACACACATAGAAAAAACATTTCCCTGAAAGCTTTAATTTTTTTTACATGATTTAAGAGGAACTGCTGCTTAGCACTTTATATGCGCATAGAGTGAAAATACATTTCTATCTGCATGACTTTTTCCCCTGGTATAGTGAAAAATAAGGTTATAAGATTGTAAACTCAATAACTTTGTCAAGACAGTCAATATGTTATCTATTTGATGATCTACATTTTGTCGTAATAAAGTTTTAAGAGATGATGTTTAATGTCATTAGTAAACACAAAATCAACATTTGTTTTAGGTATTCCCAGGCATCCAGCTATCAATTGTTTTGTGTCATTATACAGGAAAAGAAAAAAAGGTATTTACAAAATCTTTTTCTTGAAATATTTGAAAACTCAAATCAGTTTTTTTAACTACTTTCTTCAAGTGTTACAGAATGCATAATTTGTAAATATTAATGCTTTCTGTATTTTTTCTACCTTTTAGAAACTTTTTCCCCATAGTTTATTAGTAGTTTTTTCTTCGTTTAAATCATATTCAACTTCATACTTGATTTCTGCTCAGGTAAACCTATCCCCACACAAATTAGAGCACAACCATGTTTTAGAACATTCCCTGCACCAACTTCTGAGGGAAGTCCATGACAGAAACTTGAGGTACAGCCCACCCCACCCCGTCAATGCAATGCTAGGAATGACAAAGAGGAGGAGGCTTGCTGGCCCAAAAGCAATGTCCAGACAAGAGCTCATGGAAATGGGAGAAAAGTGAGATTGTTTTTTATTTTAATATATTTTTATAGGGGGCTCTAACCATATAATGTCAATTGAACTTAAATATAATTTTAGGGATTTTGAATACAAGAAGTTTTTCACGACCATTGCATAAAGTTTAAAGCTGAATAAAATAAATCATCAAATGTACCGGTATTCAAGTTTAAATAAAAGATCAAAAGCTAATTATTATTTCAGTACATTTTTTCAACCAAATGATGGTTTTTCAATGCTATCAGTCTCCATGATTGTACCTGGGTAATAAAGTACGGTATCGCTTTTCTTAAAGTTCTTCTATATTTTGCTAGATGCAAAAATGTAAATACTGTGATGTAAAAGCATAGCAGCCTCATTCTGATTATGCCAAGTGATGTTCAGGATGTTGCTTTATCAAAACTGTTTCTTGCAACTTAAAAGTGCTAGACTAAAAAAGATTTCATGTCATACAAAGTACATTATAAAAATTGTGAATTGGGGACATAAGTAATATGTCACTTGAGTTCTTTCAGGGTTAAATAATTTAGGGTGTAAAAATACTTTGATCACTTAAAGATTTAACAAACTATTTATACAAACTGTTTATACAAATGTTTATGCTGTTTAACTGTTTATACAAATGTTATTCATTCCACAGTGAATCTTTGCTTGAACAAATCTTGAAACAAACTAAACATGCAGTATTAAGAATAAGGTATTGCTTATTTTTTCCATGTAGTGTTTCCACACTTCTGAAATATATACTTATTGAGATTTGCAGACTTGTTTACTTTGACGATATTAGCATACAATTATTGCAGTGTACAATTCTGAGATTTCTTTTACGATTGTACCCTGAAACCCACCAGAACTACAAATTTAAGAGACCAGGTTGAAAATATATACATTCCGAGAGTGTCTTTCTAAATATTTAAGTCTATAAAATTAACTCGCTCCATTTTCGGGGGGGGGGGGGGCGGGGCCTCTAAATTTTAGGTTTTTTGTCTCTTATGCCAAATTCATGTTTTCACCAGTCTCCTGGTGTTAATTTTGTACCCTGAAACCCACCAGAACTACAAATTTAAGAGACCAGGTTGAAAATATATACATTCCGAGAGTGTCTTTCTAAATATTTAAGTCTATAAAATTAACTCGCTCCATTTTCGGGGGGGGGGGGGCAGTGCCTCTAAAATTTCAGTTTCTTGGCTCCTATGCCAAATTCATGTTTTCACCAGGCTCCCTGTGTTAAATTCTAACAAGTAAACTTGGAAATAGTGAATACATAAACAAATTAAATAAAGGGTTGTGTAAAAATAAATATAACAGGTATGTAGGTCACTAAGCCCCATCTAGTAACTGCATACAGAAAAATGTGCATACAACAACAACAACCACACACACTCATACACGACTCACCCACCCTACACAAACTCACCCCACTGACCAGTAAATGGGCTATTTTTAGCACCCCTTGTCTTTGTGAAGTAAATGGGACTTTATGATTAAATTCACTATTTAGGTTTAAGTCCTTTATAAAGACTATTTTGGTGCATGTTGCTCTACGCCCTATTCTCATAACCCTGCCCGAGGGCAACAAGCACCCAGGGCGCTGGGAATATATTCTTGGAACCACTGGGCTTGCCGAACAGCAAGCTGTCAAAACCTGTGTCACTTTCTTTTTTTTTTTGTAACATCATAAATGTATAAAGATTATTAGATTTGTGATTTTTTGTATGGAGGAGGGGGTGTCGTCAAAAAGTATGCATGCAATAGGGGATGGTAGAAAGTGTGACTTTTTTTTTCGGACGAATTATATTGATGGCCCCTCTTTGCGCTTAATTGCTTCTGTGCTGCATGATGTAATTTTGTGACATAGTTATTTCTTAAGGCTGAATCTCAGAGAGTGCAGAAACAAAGAAAACTATAGAATGCATTCTCAACTGTTCAGCACAGATTTAGATTTTGACATATTTTATAGATCGGAGGGGGCCTTTGAAAACTATCTTTTGAACGCAAAAAACAGCTGCTGATTTTTAATGCCCCCTCTTCCTTTCACCCATTTAAAGCTTGTGGTAGTTATCAAACTGTAATATGTTAATTGGAAATAGGCATAATGGATATTGATCGTTTTTTAAAGCTTTCCTAAAAAATAAATCTCAAGTTACTTGGTAGGGTTTTTTTTCAAATGACATCCTAATTTGTTTATTATTATTTTGATAAATTTCATTTTATGCTGATCTGACTTCAAGTTTGAACCACATTAAATTTCACCAGTAACTTTATTTTTACCAGTGACAGACTGTGATATTGTAATCAGTACATTCACCTAAATATTAATGGATTAAAATTGATATCTATAGCAGATACATGTCTGCAAAACAGTGACCCACATATTGCAATATAAACGTCAGTCATCTACTTTTTACCTTCAGTTACCTTTTTTGAAGCCAGCTTATAGCTCGATCTCACTAGACACGCGGCGCAAGTAGTTATTGTATAAATTTTTTATATTGTGTGTTTATTTACTTAAGATACAGTATTGTACGATTTTGAGACGATCTTGTAAGATTTTAGGTCTGGATTTGTCTTAACTTGGTCTTTGGTGGCTTGGAGGGGTATTAGACAAGTTTAATGAACTTTATCTTAGCCATCTCTCTGTCCTGTGAATCTATTGTCAAACTAAATAAATGAATCCATTTTAACACTTTATGAGCAGTTGAACCCAGAAGTTCTGCTTTATTAAATTTATTTTTCAGTGAGTAAACATTTACTATTACCGGTTATATAGTACTTATTTATACAATTACACTTTATTATATTTTGGTTTTCATATATCTGTTACGGGCAATGTGAATAATTGGGCATTATTCATAATGACCGGGCAATTTAAAAAGTGCCCAATGGGATGTGTCAATATAGATATATAGAAAATATTACATTGCCCCGGCATAATGAATGATGCTGGAAATCGAGTGGACAATTTGAGAAAAATTTTATTCATATTTCTCTACATACAAAAATAAGAGTATATTTTATATTCAAACAAATTTTTAAATAACTAACAAACAAATAAAGATACAAACTAGTGGTGATAAAATAAGTATAAAAAATGAATACACCAAACTAAAAAAAATATTAGGTATGTACTAACAAATACATAAACACAAAAAATGTCAAATCCTAGAGTTTCTATTTATTAGAGCAACTTCCACTTTGTTGACATTTCGAGTTACATAGCTTTTTTTCTTTACAGCACTTGCACTTGTCAGATTTACAGCCACAATAACAGCAACATTGACTATAGCCTTGGGCCCCAGTCTTGGATGACATTCTTGCACATTCTCTTAGTGAAATCTCTGACTGAGGAATTTCTTCGGCATAAATAAACTTTTCATTACATATTGTAAATTGGTTCCTAGCATAAAGTTGATTTAGGATTCCATGTTTGGTGCCTAATTTATAAAGATTGGCATCTGTTATTTCAAGAACAAATGCCAAAATATTTCTTCCATCAATTCGACCTCTGTCAACATCTGGGACTCCAACTCTAACTGTGTCACCCTTTTTAGCAGCAGAGTATTTTGAATTAGAGGTTTGAAGCATTGTTTCAGTTTGTTTTTTTAGATTGTTTGCAGAAATCTCCCTAATTTTTAATATGTCAGCTTTTCTTTTTTCACATTGGGATCCTCTGAAGAATCTTCATAACCTTCATACCGGCGTTTTTCATGACCGGAGACTTGAATATCAGATGGCTCAGAGACATTTATTTCTCTTTCGTTGTTATGAAAATCAGAACTTGGTTCAGATAATGAAGTTGAAGATTGAACATAAGTATAAATAGAAGATAGTTCCTCCTCGTTATGTTGACCCTGGCTCATTTCGCAGTGCACCTTCTTCTACAGAATGTAAATTGTTGTGATCTTTTACTATTACTTCTAAGTCCTCTTCACAATTTATATTAGGCAGAACATCTGTAGATAGAAAATTTTTAGACCAACTGTTAACTTTGTTCCAAACATGGCCTCATACGGAGTACAGTTTATGCCTCTATGATGAGCTCTGTTCTTCATAATCTAAACAAAACGTAAGCCTTGTGACCATTTTCTGCTGTTATTGTCTTGCAGCCACGAACAAAGCATATTTTCCACTTCCTGATTTGCACGTTCTATGGAGCCCTGACTTTGAGATTGTCTGGGCTTCCCATGTACCACATGCTACATAGTTCGTTAATAGTATTTTTGGCAAATTCTCTCCCATTATCACTTTGCAAAATAGTAGGCGCACCAAAAATGGTTAAAATATCCAAAAGCACATAAGCTACTTCTTCTGTTCTTTTGGTTTTAAGAGGTTGAAGTTGAATAAATTTAATTAAATGATCTTGGTACACAATTAATTAAAGTGACCAGTGAAATAATAGCAGTATTTATAATGACGAGGCAATGTAATAAATTATCCTAGATTGTCATAGAGAAATGCAAAATTATTAAATTGTCTGATTTTATCTGTCATTATTCATAATGACCAAGCATTATGAATAATGCCCACTTATTCACATTGTCCGTAACATATCCATTGAGTGCTACGTTATTGTGACTTTAATGTAATATATTTATATCTATAACACCTGCCAGGTCCATGCATGTCATTGACCAGTTAGCCATCAGCATACAGGACCCACAAATCTGTGCACATTGGAACTGTCTTAACAACAGCCTTGAATCTAGTGTCAGGATCAGTATCACATCTTACTGTTATGAAACTATCAGGTACCTTACTGTTACAAATTCCATTTTTGCTGTGTTTTGTTTAGAATTTTGACAGACACAAGATTCTACATTTCCCATACTTCCTTATATTTTTATAAATAGCATAGTAATTTCAATTTAGTTCCTAAAACTATTTACATGAACTCTCATATTAGAGACAAATTGATAAGAAGTTGTTCGCTAATGTATGAAACAGATTCAGTAAATGTTATTTATGCATTCATTTATATATGCTCTTAGTTAATTTATTTATGCTGTTAAACTTTTCAATTCTGTAACTCAAATTTTATCACTTCATCAGGACTCCACTTGTGCTAATCATTGGTATTGAGTCCATCAGAGTAATTATGAAAGATGGCCGTGTGTGTACATTGTCCTTTGAAGATAATGAATTAAGGGATCTCTTACAATGGCAGGTCAGTTTAGTGTCTTCACACAAAATATCAATGTTTGTAGCTTTAATCTGAAGTCCCCAAATAGGCAAGACTTTTCACTGCTTTTACCTAGTACAATTTTTTATTCACAAATAATAACATTTTTGTTGAGACCCGTGGCAGTTTTTTCTTTTTTTTTAATTCTTAATGTTCCCTAGGACTTTGGCCTTTTCAAATGTTTTCCCATGACATTAGCATATTCTATAACAGTGTTGAGCACTCAAGTTTATTAGGTATTAATGAGTCATTTATATTCTAAGTTATCTTAACATTAAAACAATGTTTAAGATAAGACCGATGCTCATTTTAGTTTAATGTATTTTCCTTAAAATTTATAATTTCAAAATCGCTATTATTTTTATTGAAATATGTTTCTTCCTTAGATCTGCCAACATCATGCCCATTCCATTCAAAATTTAGCCAAACTTCAAGGTTGGCAGGTCCTATCTAGCATTGTCAGCAGTGGACATGGTGACATGGAGACCTATGGCACTACCTCCAATGTTATGCTGGCTTCCCCTAAAGGAAATATGTATGTTCCTACTTTTAATGTATTCATAGATACACTACAGGTTGTTATTTGGTTGTTATTATTATTATTATGAAAACAACTGATTGAATCCTACTATAAATTTTTGTATTATCGTTACTTAAAAATTGTTAAGGTTCATCATCTTTAAATGCTGTACAGTATTTAAATTCATTGTTTATTTAACTCTTTAATTAAGCATAGAGTTTGAATGTTGTTTTTTTTTAATTTTCCATTTTTTTCTGCAGCATTTTGGCATTTCATAGCAACCCTGTCAGCGGCCATAAGCTGGCCATAAAGAAAGTTGACCCAGCAGTGGACACCCATAGTTCACCAGCAGTAACAGCCAGCAAATGGGCAAGTCTGTCTGGAGAATTCCAGGTAGATAAATTAACACTTTATCTTGTCTTTAAAGTTATACTCTTTGCATCTATTAGTGTAGGATAAAAGAGGATTGGCTAGTGCCATGCCTTAACATGTGATGCAGGCATTGTTATTGAAAGTTAATTAAATAACTGTTTTCTTGCTTTTAAGTGACTTTATGGAGTAAAAAAATTGAAGGGGCATCATGGATCTTATTCTTTTGATTTTTTTCAGGAAGTGAATCTGAACCAACTAGAGGGAAGAAATCTTGTTGGGAAGATTGACATGCTGATGGCAAGGTTAACTTTAAGCTGATGGGGATCAAGGTCAATGAGTTAGTGTCGAGAGTTCCATGTACCCATCATTGAATCTCCTAGCTGTGCTGCAGTAAGAGCTCTGTAATATATTGACCATTGGTATAGCGGTTGGTTAAACAATCTTAGTGCACCAGCTCAGTTATTATAAGTTTGTTACTTGGCCAGCTTTAAAAAGGAAAATTCCAAGTTGAGCATAAGTGTTAATTCAAGGGCACATCATTTAGTGGAAAATGTCTTTATTGACGATTAATAGCCATGATGTACAGAAGATCAACTTGATAAAGATTTCAACTTGTTCTTCCTCAACACATCTTCACTCCCACCGTGATGTAAAGGAAGAGTTATTTTGTAATAATTGTAAATTTGGTTTCCCAAAGTGTTGAATAGTTGAAAAAAAAAAGAGTCATGGTTGTATCATTTATCTACAGAGTAAAACATTGATCTTAATTGTAATTTTGTACCACTGAGCTCATTTTCAAGCAAATCTTGATCACTGGTGTTAAGTGAGTGCCAATTATTTTCAATTATTTATTTTTGTACATGTTTTCTACATTTTTTTATGTCATTTAATAATGCAATATTTATCAGATCAGTAATGTTGATTGTTCCTTTATTGAAATAAATCAGTGAAATAATGAGATCATTACCATCATATCACGCCATTAAATTGCAGGGAGTAGCCCAAAAGCTGTAGAAGAATTGTTCTCTATAAGAGTTTTCATAGCAGCTTTTCTTCCCCCCCCCCCCAATGACACTAAATATGTATATACTAATCAGTTATGAATGTCAACAATAGAGCTGTCTCATTTCTAAGGATTCCTGCAAGATAATTTTTCTCTATAATAGTTTTCATAGCAGCTTTTCTTCCCCCCCCCCAATGACACTAAATATGTATATACTAATCAGTTATGAATGTCAACAATAGAGCTGTCTCATTTCTAAGGATTCCTGCAAGATTTTAATATCAGTTAATAAAAATGTATGTAAAAAAACAAAAACTCTTTTTTTCTTTTTTGCCATTTTACCTAACATGGAAAAATATAATTTATATAATATAGTAATGAATTCTTTGAGCAAACACTACTATTCGTTGAAATAGTCTTGAAAACTTTTGAATGGTGGTTTGCAGATCTTTAATATTTGTTTTCTATAAGAAAGTAATTGTTAAAAGTTAAAAATGTATGATTAACTATTTTACCTTTTTGATATAGGAAAAGACTCTTGAGGATTAAGAAGCAGTTAGGGCTGTTTCTAGGTATTTTGTCACTCCCCTTCCCATTTTCTACCATTATTCTCTTCCTTTGTCATCCAGGCTAGAAGAATTAATGCATTTGTAAAGAACTAGTATTTTTTTTTTTTTTTGACTACTAGTAATAGTATTAGATCTAACATTAAATAATTATTTTTTTTTAATGTCCTATATTATTTTTTTTTTTAATTTTTTCTGTTAGATTTCAAATTTAAAAATTTTTACACCTTTCACG